ATGCCAGGAAACTTGGAAGACGGCTACTTGGCCAACTGACTGGAAGAGATACATATTTGTACCCATTCCAAAGAAAGATAACCCACCAGAATGCTAATAGAACGATAGCATTGACATTGCATGCAAGTAAAATTTTGATTAAGATCATCCAACAATGATTGCAGCAATACGCTGACAGGGAACTGCCAGAAGTTCAGGCTGGATTCAGAAGAGGATGTAAAACAAGGGATATCGTTGCTGATGTCAGATGGATCTCGGCTCAAAGCAGAGAATACCAGAAAGATGTGTACTTGTGTTGTGGTAGATAGATAATCGTTTGTCAATTTGAGGATTAAGAGTGTAGGGGTGGAGTCTAGCCTGTCAATCAGATCATAGCCAATGAGGCCTCTGTGTGGGCATGGCCTTGTCCTGAGAATTCTGGGGAAATCTAGTACTTCCTCCTTGGAGGCAGGAGACACCTCCCTGTGTGATACCCTGGGAAACATAGCGGCTGACCCACCCTGATGCAGCCCTGGGAAACCATGCAGAGACCCCTGCCAGCGCTGAGATGTTTCCAATGCCACTGGATCCAAAGACTGTCTACCCACTGCCCTGTGATCTTCTACATTTGGCATCATTGCATGTGTTTTGTGAGTCTGAAGAGGACTTTATAGATTGGTATCCGACATATGGCTAATACCGGACTTATGGACTTGATCTGGACTGGGCTGAGATGTTTTTCAATGTTCAATTGCTCTTGTATATAAATCTCTTTCTTATACGCACGTGTGTCCATGGATTTCTCTAGTCTACCCAGGGTAACACGTGTTTTATTGAATCCAAGGCAGTCAGCTGTGTGGACCCTAACAAACTATGGATAACCTTGAGAAGGACAGGAATTCCAGAGCACTTGATTGTGCTCTTGCAGACCCCTTACCTGGATCAAGTTCACATGGAACAAGGGAATACTGCATGGTTTAAAATCAGGACAGGTATGTGACATGCTTGTATTCTCTCACCACACTTATTTAAACTTCATGTAGGCAAATAATCAGAGAAGTTACCTTATACAACGAAGAATGTGGCATCAGGATTAGAGGAAGGCTTATTAGCAACCCTCGATATGCAGGTGATGTAACCTTGCTTGCTGCAATTGAGGACTTGCAGCACTTGCTGATGAAGATCAAGGATCGCAGCCTTCAGTGTGGATTACATCTCAATGTAAAGAAGACCAAAATCCTCACAACTGGGCCAAGAGGTAACATGATCAATGGAGAAAAGGTTGAAATTGTCAAAGATTTCATCTCGGATCCATAATCAATGCTCATGGAAGCAGCAGTCAAGAGATCAGATGACGTATTGCCTTGGATAAATCTGCTGCACACACTTTAAATTACTGAAAAGCAAGGATATCACTCTGAGGACTAAGATGTCCTGACCAAGGTCGTGAAAGTTGGACACTGATAAGGAAGACTGAAGAAGAATTGATGTTGAATTGTGGTGCTGGAGAAGACTGCTGAAAGTACCATGGACTGCTGAAAGGGCAAACCAATCTATCTTGGAAGAAGTACGGCCAGAGTGCCCCTCAGAAACAAGGATGGTAGGGAAGGTGAGGGAGAAAGGGGGAACGGATGACAAGGTCTACATATAACCTCCTCCCTGGGGGAAGGACAGCGGAGAAGTGGGTGAGGGCAACGTCGGATGGTGTAAGATATGATAAAATAATAATTTATATATTATCAAGGGTTCGGGGGGCAGGAGCAGGGAGGGAGAGGGGAAAAATGAGGAGCTGACACCAAGGGCTCAAGTAGAAAGCAGGTGCTGTAAGAATATTGAAGTCAACATATGTACTAATGTGCTGGACACAAATGATGTATGTACAGATTGTGAAGAGTTGTATGAGTCCCTAATAAAATGATTATATATATTAAAAAAAAAGAAACAAGGATGGTGAGACTTCATCTTCTAATCTTGGGACATGCCGTCAGGAGACCAGTCCTTAGAGAAGGGCATCGGGTGTTGTAAAGGGGAGGGGCAGTGAAAGAGAGGCAGGTCCTCCAGGAGATGGACTGACCCAGCAGCTGCAACAATGGGCTCCAGCACAGGCATCCGAGGTGCACTGCCTCGGCATTGAATCTGGACCTCCTGCATGGACTGCGAAGAAGTCTACCACACTCTCCCTGCGGGACAGACAACAGAAAAGTGGGTGAAGGGAGATATCGGCCAGTGTAAGACATGAGAAAATAATTTATAAATTATCAAAGGTTCATGAGGGACGGAGGGTTGAGGAGGGAGGGGAAAAATGAGAAGCTGATACCAAGAGCTCAAGTAGAAAGAAAATGTTTTGAAAATGATGGCAACAAATGGACAAATGTGCTTGACAAAACGGATGGATGGATGGATGGATGGATGGATGGTGATGAGTTGTATGAGCCTCCAATAAAATGACTTTTAAAAAACAATTCTACCACTGAACCAATGTCCCCTGTTACATCTTGTCTTTGGTATTGTTTGGTGCCTTTGAATCAGTTCTGAGTCCCTTCTGACTCAGAAACCCAAGTAAAGCAAAGCAAAGCCTGGCCCGTCATCCTCGTAATGCTTGAGGCCATTGTTGCAGCCACTGCATCAATGGATCTCATTGAAGGTCTTCTTTTCCAGTGGCCTTCCACTGTACCAAGCACGATGTCATGCTCCAAGGACTGGTCCCTTCTGATCACATATCCAAAGCATGCGAGATGGAACCTGTCTTATCATCTAAGAATCCTGGCTGTACTTATTCTAAGACAAATTTGTTCTTGAAATTCGTAGTATTTCCAATATTTCTAACAGCACCATAATTCAAATGCTTCCATTATTTTCTGGTCTTTCTTCATGGTCATTGTCCAGCTTTCACAGGTGTGTATGACAGCTGACACCAGGGCTTGGCCACGGGCCACCTCAGCTCTCAAAGGGACATTTTGGCTCTTCAACAATTGAAAGAGGTCTTGTGCAGCAGCTTTGCCCAATGCAGTAAGTTCTTCCAACTCATAATGGCCCCGTAGGGCACTGTAAGAGTGTCCCCATGGGTTTCTTAAATTTTCATCTTTACTGCACTAGAAGGTAAAAGTGAATAATAAGGCGTGCATGATGTTACAACTAACATCGATCGGCATACTGTACAATGTTATTTATTCCCTGACAATGGCAAAGAGACCCATCAGAAATATACAGGCCAAAATGTGTTACTATGGTCCATCTTCTGGTATCATCAGGGATCTTGGCAGCATGGGGGTTGTGCATCAATCTGTTGGTCACGAGGTCAGCAGTTCTAGCCACCAACTACTCTGAAAAAGAGCAGAGCAGTCTGCTCTCAGTGTTGGACTCCCCAAGGGGCAGGTCTGTTCTGTCCTTCGAGGCCACTCTGAGTCAGTCCACGGGCGATGGAGTTTGTGTGATGAGGAGGAAGGCCAGGAGGAAAGGGTTAGCTACATGATGTGCTTTTGGTGCTTACAGAAATTATCGTGAATTCTATAGCGGAAAAAAATAATTATTTCTTCAAAGAAAAGTTGAAGACGTGCCATGTTCATAAAAATAAGAAATGCAGGTTCTTGAGGATAGCACTGCAGATTTTCTGCATAGATGCCCGGTTTGCCCATTTCTCTGCCCCCTTCCCCTCACCGCTGACCTGAAATAGCACATCTTCAGAGAAGTCACCTCTGCCCCTTCTCTCTCACAAGCTGTGTAGCTTCTTATTTATCAGGATTTTAAAAGTTTTTTTTTCCACTTATCAGTTTTTAATAACTTACTTGTACCCTTTCACATGTCTGGCCAGTACATCACTGGGCAGCAAACCACAGCCCATGGGCCAGGGCCGTCTTACCAACGGTTTTTGCAAAGAACCTTCTTCTCTTGGAACCTGGCCCATTTCACTTTCACGCCTAACAGCTGAGGGAAGCAGGGGGGACAGGGAGCTTAGGGCCTGTAAGGACTGAGATTCTCTCTGGTCCTTTCCAGGAATGCTTCCCGCCCTGCAGAAGGCCTGTCTGAACCATTCGGCAGTCCTGGTGGTGTGTGTGTGTGTGGGGGGTGGGGTATGAATTGGACTGCTAAGGTCAGCAGTTCAAACCCAACCACTGTGTAGAAGATGAGGCGTTCTGCTCCTATAGTCAGTCTTACAAACCCCCCACGGACAGCTCTACACTGTCCTTTTCCTCAGAATTGATTCCATGGCCATGGAGCAATGTCCTCAGGGGTGGAGTTCTCACCTTCCAGAGATGAGGGTTCAATCCCTGGCCCCGCATGCACAGCCCCCACCCCCATCCGTTGGTGGGGCTTGCCTGTCATTATGCTGCTGGGCAGGTTCCATCGGGCTTTCAGACTAGACCAGCTGGGTGATCTATTCTGAAAGGCCCCCAGTGAAAGGCTTGCCATCCCACGATCCTGTCCTCAACTGGGGGAGAGGCAACCATGTCTCCCAAATAGTAGACATGCTGTAAACCCTGACCCCATCCTTATTCGGACCAAAGCTTCTTTCTTGTGTCAAAGAGGCAGTGTTGGTGTAGGGCTGGAGACTGAAAAGGAGCTAAAGACAAGGCCCACAGGGGGAGCTGTCCACCAGAGCTGGGCTCATCTCTGAACTGTGAAGAGATTCCTGGAGTTTGTCAAAGCACTAGGCAGGTAAACCAAGCCCAGTCAGCAGCCAAAGGTCCCAGACAGCGCATAGCCTGTCAAAATAGGTGCAAGGGCTCGCTTGGCCTTCTGGAGGACCTTGGTTACCTTAACTCATCGGGGTAGCTTTCTGACCTCCCCCCTTTAGTCCTTGGAGGGTATGGTGCTTCCAGTGGTGTAGAGCGCACACTCCTGGCAGTGCAAAGGTGGGCATTGTCATCTCTCACAGGGACATCAGTATGGCTGGCTTGACGGAGTGATGGTGTATGGGGGAAGAACCAAAGGTCCCAGAATGGACCAACCTAATCCCAAGGCAGCAACAGCTCAGTGGCTGGCCCAAGCAACACACCAGAAATACTACAGGCCAAAGCGGGTGAAGTAAAATGAACTTTATTACTCAGACACATGGCTCAGTGGGCTGAGCCCTTACCTGGGGTCTTGAGGGCAGTCTGTTTTAACAGTCTTGGGAGGGATGGGGAAAGACCCAAGGGATGCTCACTGGAAACATTGGGAAAGGGAGAAGGGCAATAATGGATGCCTGAATCACTGAGCTCTGTATGCAAAAAAGCTGTTCATAAAACAGGAAGGAGCATTTGCATGCCTTAGGTGATGCGGGATAGGGAATTACCTCCGAAGACCTGACTCCTTATGTTCTCCAGCTCCTAATAAAATGTCACCTACTGAAGATGCCTCAGTGACACTCCCCTGTCCCGCAGGAACGTCAATGCAGACCCTGAAGGAGGGAGTGGAATTGGAAAGACAAGAGATGCGAGAAATGGAGACAAGACTGTCCCGATCAAGTCTCATTTAATGGGTGGGTGGTTACAGTTTATATAGGGTAAAGGAAAAGGAAGTAAGCCACAGATGTTTCCTTAAGAATCCTAACCACAAGGCAACAGTTCCTGTGAGCAGAAAATTCCTCGGTATTTTTGGCCAACTCAAAATGTCAAACGCGCCCCTGCAGGAACAAACTGTTATTGAGGCAGTAAAGTGGAAAATTAGAGCTCAAGCATTGCAAAAGTCAAGATTCCGGCCGGGCTACGTGACTCTAAGCCGGCAAGGTTGCGACCGGGCCTCAGGGGTCCGGACAGGTCCCCCTTTTTTATTTTTTCAAAACCAAGAGACCCCTTAGGAGCTGCGCCTGTCTTAGGTTGTGAAGCCTCAAGAGCATCCTTACCCGTCATCGGTCATTAGTCCTCTTGGGCGACTAGGGCCTGTCTTAGGCTTACCCGTCATCGGTCATTAGTCCTCTTGGGCGACTAGGGCCTGTCTTAGGCTTACCCGTCATCGGCTAACCAGCTCAGCGTACAGGGGAAGGGGTCTTACCGCGTCATAACCGTGCGAGCCGCCCTGATCAATCATCTCACGGCGATGCTACTGGACCTGTATAGGCTTTGCCTGGATGGCTTCAATCTGTTACTTGACAAAAGCCATGAGCTTGTTAAATACTACAGGCCCTAATGAGAGCAAAAGCAATAGGCCAATCAAAGGGCCCAAAAGCAGTAAAAGGTAGGGCAAAAACCTGTTCAACCCGCTTTGGACCGGGTTGGCGGCCAATTCTTTTCTTCGCTTCTCCAGGTCTTCTTGTAGTTGCTTGATCTTGTCTCTGACAATCCCAGACTTGTTGGCATAAACGCAGCATCTTTCCTGTAAAGCTAAACAAATACCTCCTTGCTCTGCTGTAAGTAAATCTCGACCTCTTCTATTCTGTAACAAATCTTCTGCTAAGGAGCCCACTTGATCTTGAATATCTTGTGTGGTGCTTGATAAAGCTTGTACATCTGAAATCAATTGTTTAGACAGGTTGGTATACTGAGTAAGGGAGATGCCTAGACCTGCAGTTCCAGATGTCACTGCGGTGGTAATTCCCAACCCTGCAAGCAAAGGAATAAATTGTACTGCTCTTTTAGTTCTTCCCATCATATGGTCCATGACAGGGATGGGAACAGGCTCATCACCCGAGATAATATCTATGTCTGGGAGGAGGGAGGCCAAAACACACAATCCTGTCCAGTCAGCGGGCAAAAAGGTGTAAGCCTTATTGTTGCCACAAACAAAGACTGAGCCATTAGGAGCACACAAAGGCTCTGAAATATTGGTCACACTGCTACAGCGTGTAAATGTTACCAAACCCACGTCAATTTTATCAGTGTCATTAAAAAAGGGAGAGGAAAAACAAGTGGAATTAAAAAATTGAAAAGGTTGTACCTGAAAAGGAGGGGTCACAATGCAAGTACTATTCACTGAATAGTTTAAAGAGGGACTAGGTATAGCAAGAGGAACAGGATATCCTTGCTGCATGCAAAGCCAACATTCCTGAGCCAAAGTTGAACTAGAAGCATTAAGCAAATTATATGTGGCTTCAAGAACAAGCTCCATATCACCTCTAGCCTTAGGCAAAGCTAAAGGATGATACTGGATTTGAGGATACAAGGCTTCCTGTATCTCCTCAATTCTTTTTTGTATAATAATCTCTCTGATTTGGTCCTTGAGGACCTCCTCCATCGGACACATGCACAGGAGGCTCGGTGTCCCAACATACATGCTGTCCCACCGTACCTGGACAGGAGGCTTGTCCCAATTTGGTGGTGGTTCTTTGGATAACCGGAACACTCCAATCACCCCCAGTAGACCCGGAGTAAACTCTTTGTAACACAGCGGTAAGATATGTTTTGTTACCTGCTGTACATTGCTGATAAGAAGAATAGCATGTGCTATGCATGGCTTGATAAAACGTCGTGCAAGGGCAAGGCCCAGGGCGCCCATTGAGGGAAGGAACGGCTTTAGGGGGCTTAACACACTGCCATTTAAGGGAAGTCGCGACTTGATAGGCTGTATGAGTTGGGCAAGTCACAGTTAAGACAGGTGTCTTCGGGGGGCTTTGCACATATCCCCCGTGGCAATCACAAGGTTTTCCATACCGTTGCTGTAGTATGGCATGAGCCTTGCCAGGGTCACCAAGGCCAGCATGGATCCCAGTCATATAATAATGCAGGATTGTGGTCCACAGGAGTAAGTTGCCAGGATTCATTTCTGTGCATAAAAAAGTAGGATACTCAGGGAGAGACCCTTTCCCTGGACTGGTTGTTATTATCGACTTGTTTCACCAGTCGCTCTGGCAGCCATGTAGCTGCGTCATGTTCTTTAGAGAAAACACAGACCCAGCCCCTTCCCCAGATTAACATTGGGTCTGGGCCGTGCCATGAATTATCCAGTGGATCCCTCCACTTTACCATGGCAAAGTGCTTTTGCGATTCGGGATGCCAAAAGCGAGCAGCTGCTATTTTCCATGATCATCCAAATTCAAAAAATGTTTAATAAAAAGAGAATGGTTAAGTATGTTTCTGGGGGTACCCTTTGTGGGGTACCACCCCCCCTTTTTTATTTTTTCAATGGTGGTTTTTATGGATAAAGGAGCTCTTTTGACAATTCCTTATAAGGAATGCCCATGACACGCTTTATCTGTAACTTGGCACAGAATGTTTGGAAAGCTTTAGCAACATAACCAGGGCCATTATCTGTATTTGTTTAGGAATGCCCAAAATTGAAAAACAATGAAGTAAATGAGCTATGACATGCTTAGTGGCCTCCCCTGTTTGGAGGGAAGCAAGTATAAATCCTCTGTAAGTGTCTATACATACATGAATATACTTTAGATGACTGAATTCTGCATAATGAGTGACATCCATCTGCCAAATTGCATTAGGGACAAGCCCTTTTGGGTTAATTCCTAAGTGGGGAACTGGCAAATGCAGCACACAGGCAGCACATTGTTTGACTATCTGTGTCTAGCTTGTTCCCTAGTTATCCTAAACATTAATCTTGGGGTCTGAGCATTTCAATGATGCAGTGCATGAGCAGCCTGTGCTGAGAGGCCCTCGGCTGTAACCGTGGCCACCACTCTCGTGGCTGCATCAGCTTTTCCATTGACCTGCGTTAAAGGCCCTGGTAGGCCCGAAGGGGCCCTAATATGTCCTAAGAAAAAGGGAGCAGTTCTTTTATGAATGAGTTGTTGGCAATGCAAAAATAGCTTAGCCATTTCTGATACATGTTTGATCTGTGCTGCAGTTTCCAAAAGGGGTACTGAATGAGCCAAATAGGCACTGTCTGCATAAATGTTAAGTGCTTGGTTGGGGAAGGTTGAAAAAACCGCAATCATGGCTTGTAACTCTACCAATTGAGCAGAAGTACAGCCAGTTTTAATTTTAACTACCTTGTCGGCAAAAGTATAAGCAGCAATCCCGGTGGATGATCCATCAGTAAACACCAATAAGGCATCATCCAAAGGTTCGCGACTGCAGATGCGAGGAAATACAACAGAATGTAATTTACGAAACTGAATGAGCTTGTTAGGTGGGTAATGATTATCCAATTCGCCAGTAAAAGAAGCACAGGCTATTGGCCATGTTTCAGTATTTTGAAATAGCCAATGAATTTGTGGCCGAGAATAGGGCTGTATAATTTTTGAGGGTTCAATTCCGAAATATTTTCGGCTGTCCTCCCTACCTAGAGTAATCAAATCTGCTATGGCATCATACTAGGGGAGCAAAACCTCTTTAGGTGCAGAAGGCCAGTGGATCCACATAATGGGGTTATCTTGCCAAAACAAGCCAGTGGGGGTCGCTGCAATATTAATAATTGTAAGTGTCGAAGGTCGAGAACAATCTGTATTAGTAACAAATTGAGCAGCAATGGCATCTTCTACCCGTCTGAGCGCAGTCAATGCTTCCCCAGAAATTGATCTGGGAGATTTGGGATGGGTGTCACCCTGTAACATGTCAAATAAAGGTTTCAATTCCCCAGTGGTTAGTTTCAAATACGGCTGGAGCCAATTTTTATCTCCTAAAAGTTTTTGGAAATCATTAAGGGTTCTTAATTGATCTCTACGATTGACAGCCTTTTGATTAATAATTTTGGGTCCATTCATTTGAAAACCCAAATAAGTATACGGATCCTGCAACTGCACTTTCTCTGGAGCTATCTGCAATCCGGCCGCTGTTAACTTCTGCTTGAGCTGGGCAAAACATTGTAAAACCTGCTCCCCTATCTGTCCAGCTATTAAAATATCATCCATATAATGTATAATATACATCTTGTTCCAAGAGTCTAATCGGTTGTATAGCAGCAGCTACATATTTTTGACACAAGGTGGGACTATTGGCCATCCTCTGAGGCAACACCCTCCATTGATATCTCTTCATTGGTTCCTTAAAATTTGTGGACAGCACACTAAAAGCAAACTTTTGATCAGCAAAATGTAAGGGAATAGTAAAAAAACAGTCTTTAAGATCTATAATAATTTTGAAGTACTTCTGAGGAACGGCTACTGGAGAGGGTAACCCTGGCTGCAGGGCGCCCATGAGCACCATGGTGGCATTTACAGCTCTTAAATCCTGTAAGAGTCTCCGTTTTCCAGATCTCTTTTTAATAACAAACATAGGGGTGTTCCAAGGGGAGGTACTTTCTGTGATATGCCCTGCTACTAATTGTTCCTGCACTAACTGCTGGGCATTAACCAGTTTCTCGGCTGTCAGGGGCCATTGATCAACCCAAACAGGTTCATCTGATTTCCAGGTGATCGGATCAGCACACCTTTGGGGTGCAGACATGTCAATGGCCGAAATTAAAAATTTCCAAATCCCTTTTTGTCTAATTGTCCCATGGCCGGGATAGGTTGTCGGATACCATTTTCTTCTCTTCCCAACCCCTTTCCGGGGCTATACCCCTGGGCTAACGTTTGTGCAGCGACCACATCATTAGGGCTGCACATCATGATTTTCATTTGAGAAAGGAAATCTCTGCCCCAAAGGTTAACAGACAGGTGAGGGATGACAAACAGCTTGATAAGGCCTGAATTGTTTTCCTTATCTTTCCAAGGAATGTACTTGGAGCTTTGCTGGGGGTTACTGCTTTGTCCGATCCCTCTTAAGTTGGTCAGTGCGGCTGAAGTGGGCCAATTAGGAGGCCAATCCTCTTGTCTGATGATGGTTATATCGGCTCCGGTGTCTATTAGTCCTGTAAACGGTTTGCCATCCGGCCACAGCATTAAGGAGGGTTTTTGACTGGTGATTGGCTATACCCAGTACACATCTGAGGACCCAAAACCTCCTGTCCCTCTTTCAGGGTGTTGACTCTTATTGTTTGTCCGGATTAATGGCAGCAAAATCAACTGTGCTATTCTTTCTTCCTGAGTAATAGCAATGATATTATTCACAGCCTTGGCCATAATTTTAATTTCCCCAGTATAATCGTTATCAATTACTCCTGGGTAAATCTGCAAACCTCTCATGGTAACACTACTTTTCCCCAAAATTAATCCAAAAGTTTCAGGGGGCAAAGGACCGCTCACTCTGGTGCTTAAGGCCTGCGCTCCCATTTCGGGAGTTAGTACTGTGTGGGAGGCAGAACAGAGGTCCAGTCCTGCGCTTCCTGGGGTTGCTCTGCTAAGTTTTGAAATGGATTGTTGCTGCTGGCTGGAACAAAGCTGACCGCCCCATAAGCTTGTTTCGGGAACTGGGGCCAGTCCCTCATTCCCTTTTCCTGCTGGGGTGACGAAGGATTTCCCTATCAGTTTTAGATTTGCATTCATTAGCCCAATGTTTTCCCCGTTTGCACTTAGGGCACAAACCGGGAGCCCTACCCTCAGAGACGCTATTTTGTTCTCCTCAGCAATCCTTAGCAAAATGTCCACTCTTGCCACATTTGAAACAACCCCTTTTTTCTTTGTCTCTATGACCCAAAAAATCCTTCACTGTTTGTCCACTAAAGGCTGCCATGGCCAGGCCCTGTTGATATGAGGACCCGATGTCTGAACAAAGGCGGATATATCCTTTTAAATCTGTCCTTTTCCTGTGAGGTCTAATCGCTGCCTGACAGGCCGGATTGGCGTTCTCGTATGCCAGTTGCTTGACATAATCTATGCCAGTCTCAGCGTTGCCAAACCAAAAAGTCTCTCCGCGGTTGTCATAAGCCTATGTGCAAAGTCGGCAAACGACTCATCAGACCCTTGCTTGACTCCAGTGAGCGAGGCTCCGGGGTCCCCTTTAACGGGGAGCTTCTTCCAAGCCTTTGTAGCGGCTGCTTGGGTTTGTGCAAACAGCCCGGGGTCATACTGTTTTTGGACCTCATTTGCTGCGTACTCGCCTTCGCTCATCAACATATCAAGATCCCAATCCTTTCCTGCTTGAGAATTTCTTTTTGCCATTTCTTGACAATTCTCGTAAAACTCAGATTTCCAGAGTAAATGGTCTCCTCCAGCAAGAACGGCCCTTGCCAACACACCCCAATCCCCCGGGGTGAGCCACTGTTCAGCCAGGCAATCTAAAAGAGCCAAACTGTAGGTGGGAAGTAGCCCCATATTGAGAAACAGCCTTCTTTAATTCTTTTATAAGGGCAAACTTAAGTCCAACATAAGTTCTGACAGAGTCCCCCTGCTCGTCTGTAGTTTCAATTATTGGGAAGGCATTTATAAAAAGGGAATCTTCCTCCTCTGCTCCCGCAGGCATCTTTCCTTTAGGGAAATGCTGCCTGGGCTGCTGATGCGAGCGGATAGTTTCCCTTCCTTTTTGACTCTGCAATAGTCATTTTTCCTGTTCTTAAGTTCTGTAATTTAGTAATCAGAGACTGGTGTAACTCTTCTAGCTGAATCTCTCTTAATCGAGCAATTTTCTCTTCGAGCTCCTCTTTAGGGCTTATTGCCGCCATAGCTGTGGGAGCAGAGGCTGTGTTGTACGGAGGGGGATGAGAGAAAGATGGCGGCCAGTCAGGATGGTGTTATTTGGCTGCTTCTTCTTCTAAATCATCCCAGTCCACCTCTGCTGGGTCAGGACTGTTTTCCTCTCTTTCATTTTTTAATTCTTTTAGTATTGGATACCTTTTGGGTTTTTCTTCACTTTGCGAGTATTTCTTTTTTCATAGTTTAGTTTCTTCATTATCATGTTTATTTTTTACAGGAGGAGCCATGGCTCCTTCGTCATCACTCTCCAGGGAAATTAGGTCCACTTCTCCCTTCGGCGGACTTTCCCTAAGGTCAGTTTTAGAACTGACTTTTAATATTTCCTCTGTCTGGGTGACTGCAAGCCATTACCTCTGAACATTCTTCCTTCTTGTCAATTAAATCTCTAATCAGATTCCAGTAGGAAAAGGCTGTGACAGGAACCTTCTCTGGTCCAAAAACCTGATAATAATCCTCAAGAGCATTTCCCACCCTCTTCCATCTCTTTATTATGTCAATGGTTCCTTCTTGAGGGAACCATGGACATGTATCTTTTACAAAGTCAAAAAATTTAAATAAATCATTCCCTCGAACCTTTACCCCTCGCGTCTTTAAAGCCTTTCAACTGACTCACATAAATCTGATGTTGGCTTAATTCTTGTCCCATTATCAGGCGCTTTCACTTACTTTCAGTTCTGGCGCGGCAAGCTCCTGCGGCAGTCAAACGATTTTCTTTTTCACCCATGATGTCGACCTTTTTCGACGCCTTCTTCCTCACAATGTCCCTCGTATTCGGGCCCTACATTGGGCACCAAATGTCCCGACCCGCAGGAACGTCAACACGGACCCTGAAGGAGGGAGTGGGAATTAGAAAGACGAGATGCGAGAAATGGAGGCAAGACAGTGTCCTGATCAAGTCTCATTTATTGGATGGGCGGTTACAGTTTATATAGGGTAAAGGAAAGGGAAGTAAGCTGCAGATGTTTCCTTAAGAATCCTAACCGCAAGGCAACAGTTCCTGTGAGCGGAAAATCCCTCAGTATTTTTGGCCAACTCAAAATGTCAAACGCGCCCCTGCAGGAACAAACTGTCCTTGAGGCAGTAAAGTGGAAAATTAGAGCTCAAACATCGCAAAAGTCAAGATTACGGCCGGGCTACGTGACTCTAGTGACTCTAAGCCGGCAAGGTTGCGACTGGGCCTCAGGGCTCCGGACACTCCCCAAGCCCTTATAAGGAAGCAGCATTAGATTCTTCGGTTTCACCATGGATTGAATTGTGTCCCCCAAAATGTCAGCTTTGTGGTTTGGGCAGTTACATAGTTATCACCCCTGGTGTGGTCAGCACAGAGGTAGTCAGGGGTTTACTGAGAGATGTGACCGCTTCACTCAGGCTGCAGCCTTGGGCTGGTGCTAGGGGAGTTTCCCTGGGGTTTGGCCTGCATTATCTATTTTCTTATAAGAGATAAAAGATAATGTGTTTGACACAATGGATGGATGGATGGATGGATGGATTGCGATAAGAGTTGTATGAGCCCCCAATAAAATGGTTTATAAAAACAAAAGAGAGATAAAAGATAAAAAAAGTGAGCAGAGACCCAGAGGTCTCCAAGATCTGGGTGTGGAGCTTGCCTTCAGACACAGGCGGCCCATGTACTGAGAACCTGAGACCCGTGAACACTGATGCCCAGACAGAAGAGCTTCCAAGGAAAATCAGGCCCACAGGTGTCCAAAGAAACCAGGATCTTACTTGTCTGATGGAGACAGCTTTCCCCTCCAACTGGCAACTGTACTTTGACTTCTGGTCTATGAGAAAACACATTTGTTAAAGCCACTCACTTGTGACAGTTAAGACACATCCAAAATCACTGACCCAAGTCTCTGAACATGTAAACCCCTTGCATAAACTTCAATGAGTACTTTTACACCTGTGTTGGAGGCTGGCTGTAAGGTTATGGGTGGGGTTTTTTTGTGTACTTTGGCATGCATACCCAATTTATTTCCTGGCATTCCTCAGCATGGATGTACTATGTTTATTAAGATCCTTCTCTTTTCACGGGGTGTATTTTTTTCTCTCAATGTCTGTAACAAAATTTATCCCTGAGGCTCAGCAGAGAGGAACAGGGCCCATGAGTTACAGTGTCTCTGTGGCAGCCTTTTGGGCCAGTGCCAGCCATGGGTGCGGCAGGCACTGAATTTGACTCAGCTGCAAGCCCACTCTGGATTACAGTTGTCACCAACTCTGGGCAGCAAACTTCATTCACTGGATCCAATATGCAGCCTTTAAAAAAGTCATCAACATACTAAGCTAAAAATCATAATCCCGCGAAGGGGCTCCAAAAGGTTGTACAATCCTACATAGTTCATTGCCATTGTTCCATGAATTTCTCAAACCCCCCTTGCACAAGTTAGTTAAAGGGTCACATACCACACAGACACCCACCCATCCTTAGGAATTAATCTGAGACAGGATTCCTCTCTGACTTTCCTGAGTCATGGTGACTACACAACATCAAAACACTTCCCAGTTCTTGATCCCCATGTTGTGGGTTTTGAGTTTTCATTCAATGTGTTCCAAGTCTGTTTAGTGTGGAAAGTTCAGCACTACCAGATGCTGACAGATCTCATGACAGGTATTAGATGCAGGTCTCCTCTGAATGCAGCTCAGATTTCTGAATGACCAGTACCACCCCATGAAGTAGGTAACAAGGGAGCCAAGAACATGGGACTTCACAGGGTCTGGGTAGCTGACAGCCAAGCCACTTAATTAGGCCACAGGGGAGTCCTGACCTTTGCAGGTGATGGTAATGCCTAGTCAGGTTTCCCCCTGAAAATATTCAAAGAGTGAGGACATTCCAGTAAAAGGGAGTGTGGGAGACAACAGCATGCCTCAGCTGGGTGATCTGCAGCAAAAATAGGTCAACATTTCCAGGTGGAGGCATGCATATAAGATCTTTAGGCTCCTAAGTTGCAAAATCATGTTAGCATTAAAAAGCCCACCAACCCCTGGAACATGAAGCCCAATATTACAACTACGGGAAGGGGGCATGTGGGGGTGGGGTATTGAGAGTAATATTGGGAGTAAGCTCCTGGTGTCAGAAGCAGTGGTTCTCATTTATCACCCTATACTTAAAATTTCCCCC